GGGTCCCTTGAGAAAACTGCGATGCATTATTGTTGAGAGAAGGCTGCAGAAACGATTTGGGAACTCCTCTGAAAAAGAACCGAACCGGCAGTCTTGATTCCGGAGAACTCCCACCTACTTACAGTTGAAGTTGCAGATACGCGTAGTAGGATTCTGGAACTGATTACTCTCTAGCATGATGTCAGCTGGCATCCTTTAACGATCCTGCGCATAGAAAAGAAAGGGCACGCACACAACTTTAGACTTTAGGTCTTCATTGCGACAAGTCTTATGCAGCAATGCTACTGGAAGAAATCGTGGCGCTGAGATCGTCGGGTGCCAGGGCCCCCGCAAAAGGCATGCACGAATCATGGCGTACCTTGTGGCTGCTTGGCACATGAATGCAAAGCGGTCCCACTGTCAACACGGATTGTTCCAGATTGCCTGCGCAGTTATGTATTGTTTGTAGCTAGCAAACGGATTCAAGTGGCAGGACCGGTATCTCATTCTAATTCCACCACTTGTTCCACAATATTTAAGGTTCCGTCAAATTTTTGCACGCAATACGGGATATGTGACATATAGAGGACCCTGGGACGCTTGCCATTGACGGTCAACACCTCAAAGCTCAAAGCCTGCTTACTCTTGTTTGTCGATGCTCGGCTATATACGGATCTTATATTCTGGGCCCATGCTGGACTACACAGAACGTGGCTTGTAATGAATCCTGACCCGATAGGGCTAGGCTCAACCCGATTCCTTCATTCTTCTGAGAGACGTGCTACAAACCCATATGAGCAGCGATCAAAATACAACCCCGCGGAATAACCGGTTCGCTTCACACAAGGTAAGTTAATCCGCACAGACCCGTCCAACCTAGACAGCAAAAGGTGCGACACTACCCATAGCTTGCTTGTTCTAGAGGCCTACCCAAGTCTACTACACAGCGTGCACGCTGGACACTGATCTTTGCAAAGACAGCCTGCTTGTAGTTTGGATGTATCCGTCCGCGGATATTCCAGCATGGCTCAGTACTCCCATGCGCAGACTTGATTGGAAAAACAAGAAATCACCCCCGCCCCAACTTCACAAGTATTGCAACACATCAGTTCACATAAGCTTCAATCAGTAGGAGCTTTCGAGACTGTTGTGGGGAATACACTCAACCTCCCAAGCCCATGACCTGGGCTGGATCGTAGCCAGCGGATGCAAGGCCATGAATACAAAAAGAACGTGATTCATTCGGCAGATGTGGAATCACAATGTAAAGGGAGAGGATGAAAAAAGTAAAAAAAGCTGGAAACTATCAGGATTCCGAGTGCTTCCAAGTCAAGAGTTCCAATTCGAGATTTATCGAAGTTTCTAGGTCAGAAGGTCCTATTGGGATAACTCAAAGACCCCAAACCCGGCTGCAGTGCACATGCATGCCGCATAGGTGTAGGGGGACCGCATGATATGTGCAAGCTGCAGGCACCTCTGGCCTGCTTGAGCCCCTTGAACTGCACAGCAAGTTGTAAGGAAAGCCAACACGGGCCCCTGCTCCCATGCACATCTACAGCGTCTAGACAGAAACTGCGGATGCCAGTAAGGCTGGGGCTGGGTAGCTGTCATGAAGCTATGAGCTGTCTCAAGCCCATGTCTACACAACCGATAACATCAGGAAGGCAACGACCAACCTCAGAACCATGCTCATGACTCGGCGCGGGTAGAAGTTGCGTTGCCATCTCCTCTGTGTGTGAAAGCTCGCAGCAACGAGTGAGAAACCATTCCTGTCAATGTGCCTTTCGCAGTCACAGGTACTGATGTTGAAGGATTGTCATGGTTTTGCTATGTATGCTTACTGGGAATGCGTGCCCCCTGTGAAGCACGCTTCTTAATTGAGCTAATGTCCGCTCTGTAGGTACCTAGGCCTAGAACATTCTGTCCCAATGCTACTGGTTGCTACCAAAACAACGCGCATGTCCTGATGAGTTTAGCTTGGCAACCATGATGTCTCGCAGGGTTTGAAGAGGGACGAGCCCTACACGAGGCTGCATGGCCTCTAAGTGACATGGAGTGGGTCGACTAGGAGCAGGCTGGGATTAGACTGGTCCATCCCAGCCCCCACACGGAATCAACTAGCCTCAGCACGCGGCTCAGGAGACTATCCATCACATGCAAAAACCAACATAGCAGTCAACATCACGTCTGCGAAGCCAGCGGCCGCCACTACTCCACCACAAGACGAAGCTACCACAGTTACAGCGAGGATCAACAGATCCTAAATGAGATAGACCGTATGTGCGTGAAGAGGGCCGCACGAGGCATGCCTCAGGCTTGCTTGAGTTTGCCTGCGCCCAGAATGTACTCTTCCTGAAAAATTCCTGCGCACGGGCGAAAGGGGATTCGTGATGCACCAGCAGGTTCGGACATTATAACTGCAGGACGTAAACGATCGTAAACGTGAATGTTCGAGCACCGGCGCTGGCACGTTTGTACCTGCACAGGTTGTGAAAGCAAGGCTCTTCATTCTGAACAGCGCATCCCCCACATGTGGCCAATCACATTGACAGCTTCTTTTGAAAAATGTCGTGGCGTTCCTTTGCAACCATGATATGGTGATATGGTCTCAGGAAGACCACGCACGCAGTGTTTGATTGGAAACTGGAGGCGCACTTGACGTGCACTTCCTTGGTGTCCTATAACATGTAGTTTCTGTGAAGCACATGCTATGCCGGATACTCATGCATGCCTTCACGACACTTGGCATTGAAACTCAAAAGGCATGGCGGAGTCTTGAGTTTTTGATGACTTCAGGCGACGCCCCATCACGGCCAAGTCAGGCAACATCCGAGATGTCTGCGCGGGAGGTTCAGCATAATCAGGCCAAGGTTATAGGACGTAGGATGGCGTAGGGCTCATAGCTGCCTTAGGGCTCCGTGGTAACGGTGGCAGCTTCCTTGCGGCATCAGCCCCTAGACTACTCAATCCTGAAACAGCGGACCGCTGGGATGATGAGAATGACTTTGAAGCACCCCTCAAATTTGTCTTGTACCATGCCCCTGGATCATCCTGTTGTTCTAGAAAGTTTGTTGAGTAATTCCCCTATTGCCTACGGCGCCTTCGCGCTTCAACCCACAGCCCTGAAACTGCACCTGGGAAGCAAACGCCAAACGCCGTGAACTTTCGTGAACCTTAAGTCTTTCATTCCGTAAGGCTCGGGACATTCGTCCAAGAGCACGTGTAATATTTGGTGATGTTTGCAGTAAAGCTCCGGCCCGAAAGACATACTCTGAATATGGGCTACGCAGGGTCTTTGAAACTCCCACATCTCTAGAGGAAACTGGGCGAAACTTGTGCGCGGAGCGAGCTCTGGGGCTCTTCAGCAAGCCTGTCTTAACAACTGTCGAAGCTGAGAGGGTTTTCCCGAGCTCAGGCAGGCCTACGTAAGGAACTCCCAAGGCATGTCTTTCCCCCAATCCTGGGCGAGGACAGACCGCTAGGCTGGGACCCCCTCAACTCACAAGCGCACAAGCTCCGTTGCGAAAACTACCCTTCCAGGCTCTGCTTGTAATGCCACATGAGCTGTGGAACACACTCAAGAGACGTCTTTCTGCTTAAACTGCATGTCCTTCTTTTGATGCGTGCCAACAGGACTATTAAGGCCTCTATCGGCCGCACTGGTTCATGTAACTGAAGTGACTGTAGCTTATGACTGCAGGTTTAAGGACTAGTCCCGGGCCGTTGATGCGTTGGCAGTAGCCCCCTCATAAAACTGCTGTTGCCCAAATTACCCAGATATGTAGACCTCCAAGGGGGGGGGCCACCATGCGTGTCCGAGCTCTGTGCTCAAGCTCCATTATCAAACGGGTCTTGGGTCAAGATTAAAGTCCCAGGTATAACCTCCATGATTTACATAGGATCTTACTTGCAGAGACCCTGCACACAAGTAGGCCTCACTACAAGACACCTGCAAACACTTAGCGGCTCAATCTCTCTGCCTCGGTATAGTTTATTACTGCCGGATATCATGGAAAACTTGCTAGACTCACAGAGCTCCCAACCTGTCCTTCTGAAAACAGAAAAGCTGTGCTCTCAGCACACTTTGCCACTGAGGCCCTCAAGCAGAAACTGACATGGGCAAGAAAATCTCAAATAGATAGATCAAAGCATCTTGGCTGTCGTCGCCCCATTTGCTTACTTCTATCAACGCAAGAAATGCCGGAATGGAATTGCCATCTTCCAGGTAACGCACGTGGTGCTCAGTGCGAGTGGCTATGTATTTCATGTCCCTCATGCACTGCACAGCTTGCGAAGACCCGGTGCAGGATTCATCCCCATTCTGACTTTTACCTCGAGTGCTTGAAACCATCGAAATTCCAAGATCTTCAAGTCCCGAAATGCGCGGTTTGGGCATGCACAAAAGAGTGTGCCGTTGTAGCTCGACAATGGCATCTGTAAGGGAGAGCGATGGGGATAAAACAAATGAAGGCTGAATCATAACATGCTAGCATTGCCACTCCTGAAGACATGCCACAGCCCTGTCAAGCACGCTTACTTCACGATGAGAGGAGGCGAGAACAGCCAGCAGCCAAGATTGTTTCATATGCTTGGCACGCACGGACAGTTGCGAGGAAACCTTTGGCGCTAGCATGAACCAGCAAACACATCAGGTTGTCACACGAATCTCGCATGTAATTACCTCTCAAGGGTTAGAAAGGGGATTATTGAGCTTACTGATGATGATTCTCCTGATTATGGGGCTTAGTATCTGGGAGTTCCCAAGTCCCTATGAACTAGTAAGTAGAAATCTATATTATGAACATTTCTGTAGATGATGCTCGAGAGCACCCCTCATGGAAAACCATTGCGGGCTCTAATTCTTACTCTCTTGCTACTGGCATCGAAGTGCAATACCTTAGCCCCAACTGTTGCCACTCAAGCCCCGTACTGGGCCTCCATCACCACTTAACTATGCCCAAACCCTCTTTAAGAAATCAAGAGAATCAGATCGTCACGCATGTGAGGTTCCCTCGCTACCTTCAGGCGCTCTGGAACTCGGCGGCATCTGTCACCACCACAATGTTTCCGACCTCAGCGCGGGCTCAAGCATAGTGGGCGAAGGGCGAGATCCTGCACAGCCAGCATGAAGAATGGTAGCCTTTTTCTGAGGACATGTCAGTCCGAAAACAAAGGAGCCGCGAGGCAAAACCTCGGGTCAGCCTGTCCTACCACATGTCTTGGTATCTGGGGTCCAAGGGGACGCCGCAAGCAGTGATCGTTGCGAGAAATTCGCTGAGCTCAAAGCCTGAACACTACATTCCTACTTGCCGAGGGCCCAGCCCCATCGTTAATGCGAGCAGATTTGCCATCCTGGCAAAAGCACACAGTTTTGCAGGCCAGTTGCCTTTTAATGCTTTCGATGTACATCTAGCACTGGAGGTGTCGGCCAATGAGGCTGGCTGGACTTTATTCTAGTGAGTGCCATGTGCGACGCGGCAGCCACCCGCGGAACGAAGTACTTAAAGGTTAGTACGAACAGCGCATGGTACCAAACTTCGAAAATACCTGCAGCGTGGATCTGCTGGCTAGGATGCTAACTCCCAAGTAATGACTTTCTCCAGGAATGGGCTTCAATGTCGTGGCCAGGCGCTATGCGCAAAGCTGCGTGCCACACCTGCAGGTTTTCAACACGAAAACGTCTTCACCACGCGGCAGGCGAAGAATGCGTTATTCTTGGATCCTTGGGCGATGCCTGGTCATTGGAACGGTCCAAGGTCCAAGCTTCCATAAACTCCTTGCCAACCATGGGAACCATGTTGCATATAAATAGGCGACTTTTTGAGAGAGTCAACAGTCCACTAAGGCCCATGACGGTAATCTTATAAGCGGAAAGGAATGCTCGTGAGCAAGCTGGGGTTAAGACCATCTCCACAGTAGGTCGTGCCAGCGTCTGCTGCTTCGGCTGGTCATTCGGCTTCTTCTGGGCCAGGAAATTAAGGAAGCACGTCCCTAAAGCAGGCTTCAGCTTGAAGGTCTCGGGCTGTAGCTGGAGGCCTAGGTGGTGTGGGGTTCGGGGTTTAGATCTGATTGTCAGGAGTTGGGCCATACTTCATGCCTCGACCCCACCACGACCCCTCCTACCAATCCGCAACTACGTTGGGCATGGTTCAGTTTTTTGCTCCTTCTGTTTTAGCTCGTAAGGTCTGAGCGGCAGCCCACTTCGCCCGCTTCATCCCCCACCTGCACTCGGCTCATCTCTGTGAGCCTGACCCACCCAACCTTAGAGTACCCTTTCAGGATCCCAAAGCTACAAGAATCCCTATAGCAGAAACTTCCAAAGCTCAGGGGGCCTCTCAACATCCTAGAGCATCCCTAGCCCTGGCGTCGGATGACTTACGACACTGCCATTCCGAGACGCGCAAGAGGCTTTTCCCCTAAACCTCGAACCTAGCTCACACCCAGACCCTCCTCAAGGTACCCTTGGCGTTAAGATGAAGAAAGATAATACTACAAAAGGGGTCACCCTTAAGGAGTACACAGTGACGCTTTCAAGAAACTCACATATATCCACAGATGGGACTCCGGCGCCGGAGAGGAGAGCCTTTTGGCGATCGTCCTCGTCCTTCTGAGCCTCCTCCTCGGGTTCAAGGCTTTTTCGGCTGGTTTCCGGAAAGTTTTAGGTCTTTAGGCTTAGTATGTTAGAGCTTCATTCACTGCCGCTTCTTAAGAGCTTCCAGTATGACGCTGGCATGCCATCATTACCACAATTCCTGCTCCCGAGACTGCTCCACTCTCATCCATTCTCACTGTGAGAAATGCTTACGAATGTCCATGCTCGGGATTGAAGGTCCTGACCCTTTGCTGGACCTGGCGTGTGGCTAAAAGTTCCTGAAAAGGTTCGCAGAATTTTCTCACAAATCTCTTGAATCAGGGGAATGCTTCCATGTGTGGCGAGTTTGCCTCGGTCCCCTCAATCCTTGCCGAATTTTGCCAAAAGACGAGCGGTAGGGGTGTTGCTTGGTGCTGTGTGAATCTTTTGCTCCCGTTGTTTGTATGTATGGGTTCGAGTGTAGACCGTGCCCCACTGTTGGCCAAGGACGGATCAAGAGCGTGTCAGGCGACCGCAGAAAACCGAAGAGTGTGAGGGCTCATGAACTGTAGTTCTTGTCCCTCTATGCCTCTGGAGACGGCGAACTCCTCAGGAAGTCTGCGATGCTCATCCGTATCCCTTACAAATCCCTCAGAAATTCCTGGTGGAAATTCCTGGTGAGTTCCCTGGACTTCCTAGCAACGCGGCCGCAATCTTCAGAACTCGCGGAGCCATGAGCCAGAAATTCCCAACGATAAACTCAAGAGCCTAAACCCTAAGCCGCCTAAGCCTCGCACCTAAACCCTGAACCCTGCATTGTATGAATCTCCGGCGCCTGCTGTGCCAATTCTATGGCCTTATTTGCGGCAGTGAAGACCTGCCGGCACGACTTGGGCTACCGAAGATCAGACACATGTGTTAAAGAATTCTGCGGGTCATTCCGGGGCTTATGTAAAGGGTTGTTATCATGATGTGGGTGTTGTTGAAGATGGCGCACGTAAGGGTTGAACTGAATTACGCTTGCGTGGACAAGGTTTGGGCAAGCCTTCGCCAGGCACCATGTAAAGCAGGGTCCCATCCTTCCATCATCCTAGATAGGTCTTTTAACCGGGGCTGTCGGTCGAAGCTTAATAGAGTAGGTCTAGTCTAGTTACACTTGCCTCCAACTTGTTACGTTGACCAAGGTAGATGCCAGCCCGGCACGATCAGGATAGCGAATTCGTCCTGCCGTTTTCTGGAACCACGCTGGAACCCAAAAAGTAACCACCACACCATCTCAGAAGACCCTACAAAAACCGGGCATCAGGGCCAATTTTGGATGCCCACAGAAGCCCTGATCCGCAAACTGCAATACAAAGAAGCTTAGACGTAGTGTTGCCATAAACCTAGAGGCTACTTCTTTTGCTGCTGTCAATAGATTTTGCAATCACTGAGAAAGCTGAACTCTCCAATCAGCGAGCGCAGGGTTGAACTCTAGCTTGTAAATTCTAAGTCCTACACCCTAATCCTTGAGGGCTGCAACCACTGTAGCATTTTGGTGTTCTCTGAAGCCTGCTGCGGGCTCTTCGTCGCGAAGACTAAGTTCACGAACTCGTCCCGGTCGCGTTGCTGGGATCAGCGAGGAGCTTCTTAAGTGGGAATATGAATATCGTATTGCGTAGGACTTTCTTGCGAGCTTGGGGTTGACATTGTGGCGCAATGACCAAGCAAGCAGAGAACCAAATCTCAGACTCGAAACCCGGCTAGGCTACGAGAAGCCGTCATCACATCAGCCCCTTGCGTGTTGTGAGCTACCAGCTGCCTATAGGGCATTACGAGCAATACTCGACAGCTAACTTAAACCTTGCACATCGTTGAGCTACCGCAACCAAACCAGACAACCAGCGCAAAAATTACAAACAGCTGCCCTCAAAGCGACCCCTAAGAGAGGTCCCAAACAGGGATTTAAGTCGGGCAGCTGCTTGTCGCTTCTGAACCAGCTACCCGGGTAAAGAAAGGTAAGGGAACCAGTCCTTGTGCATATGTCCGGGCAAGCGGCCATCTCGAAAAGCAGTGATCTTGGGTAAACTGATGGGAGCATCGCAAAGGACTGTTGACAAGGAAACCTTTAGATGATCCGCCTGGTAAGCATGTAGATGCGAACCACTTCCAAGCTTACTCAATCCTAGGAAGTCGGACTGCTTCTCGAGCATGTTGGAAAATCCCAGCTTTTGATTCCAAAATGTGACTTTGTGGCCTGACTTTCTAAATCAATCCACGCAAACCAGATCTGCTATCCTAAATATCAACCGCGTGCTAAGGATCAGGGATATCCTTCCTTTATTGGGGTTGTTATCGGAGGAAGACTACTGTGACACCTTGGGGGTCCATGGAGCGCCAAATGCCATCCTGAACTTATGAGACCGATAGCTTGTAAACCCCCTGATAATGCCGCTTGGTCTGCCTTCACGCGGAAATCAGGGACAGGGCAGAGCAGCAATTTTGGGCCAGGGTCCTGTGAAACAAAGAGGAAGAGTTTACGAGGAGCTTGTGGCGTTTCAACATTCTCAATTTCCGAGGATTCAGGCCAAGTACCTGTGTCGGGGGATTGGGCCTGGTGCTTCGTTGAGGGTGATTTTTGGCCATGCTACTTCAACCCCTGGCTTATGACTGAGCTGCCCGTGAATTTCATTTGGCTTTGTGAGAAGGAGTCTAGGCAGCGCATGGTTCGGCTTGATGATGTCATACTGGTATACTGCGCCAATCCCAACTTAAATCAAGCGCAATTACATTGCAAACTGAACGGAAGTGGCTCAACAGAAGAAGTACCCCCAACTTTCTCTCAAGCCCGAGGAGGAAGCCCACTTTCTCTGCCAAGTGCGCATTTCACACAGCAGCCTATTTACAAGATTGCATGCCCGAGGAAGGATTTGGATCCTCTCAGGTTGTGAAGCCCTGGCCAAGATGTTTCCTAGCTCAATAAGGCAGAAAAACCTGAAGCCTCCACCCCGAACCTTGCAAGAATTCACTGAGACCCGGGCTTTGCTTTCCAGGAGGATGGAGAACTTCTGAATGGGAGCTTCCTCAGCTTCGTTGTAGACGGTCTCCTGGCTCCAAACAAACTTTTGCAGGAGACAGAGATAGCTAAACCCAACCCAAGCAAGACCTCAAACCTGCCGACACTCTGTTGACTGACTAACGCCATCCCTACAGAACCTTCCCACCATCCGCCTGATATCCGCCGACTCGCTTGTAGAACTTCACAGTTGGATTGAAAGCCGGAACCTCATCATGCGCAGGGGGGGAGTCGAGATCTTTTGCCACACGGGTAATAGCCAGAAGTGAGGGCCAGCTTACAACCCCGGCAAGATTCGTACAAACCCTAAGCCCGACAGCAAGGGACACTGCGGGGTGCACAATCACCCATGCGTCTCAACTGCAAAACTACTTAGGACGGCCATGAGCAGGTTATGAGAAGTGTCATAGAGTCCTGACTCAACACATTGAGGTCAAAGGTTTGGAGGAAGCGAGGCAGCTACCAACATCAGGCTGCCCAATGCAATACCACGTCTCTGACCATCCCGGAACTTTGGTACAAAAATACGTGAGGATTGCAATAGGCTTGGCGAGACCACATGTGCCTCCGAGTTTGCGTATAGTTGACTGGGCTGAATTGTGAAGAGGGGGGTGTCGAGCAATACTATGCAGTTACGGCAAAATGCCAGTTTCTGGCGCTGTAGTTTTGGCTGAAAGCAGCATGTGTTGTCACCGCACAGCTGTGTAGAACGTGGAACCCGCAGGCAAACCCTGTGAAACAGTGACACACAACAATTACAAGGGCTGATTTCGGAAAATGCACTGGATGCCACAAAGCAATTGATTCAATTGAGCACATTCTCCAAGCTTCACTTCTGCCTGCAAGTTGATGCCTGTCTGCACCAACGCGCACGCAAGCAGCATTTCTTGAAACGGCCCCTCACATCACTGCAAATCTCAAACCTCCGATCCATGACCCCATGATGCAAACCTCAACTCCATGAATGACAAACCATAAAGCCCCAAACCTTGAACAGGCAACCTGAATCATCATGCCGATTTGAGAAAATGCCCTGAGGCCTCGATGTTGAGAGCCACGAGCTCGATGGCAGGACTCGGCGAGATCATAAATGGATAGCTCTCAGGCCGACATGTGCTGTATTTAGGGTACCCAGCCGGAAAACATAATTTGTGAGTAGTGTAGAGGACTGTCCTCATTTTTTGGCATGGAAGATTCTAGGGTCTTTACAGTCAGGCAGGGGTTTGCACAATCTCCCTGTAAATAACGCAAAAGGTCATTACTAGAACATTGCCGGTTGCTAGTTGAAGCCATCTTCATGCTCTGACCCTGAAGGATTCCGCCGCTTTCCAGCCCTTTGAAAAAGAAGAGCTCAGTCTCTAAACTCCACAGAAACCCCCACAAACGCCGGCAAGTACTCAACACGTTTCCTGCTGGTATCTTCACCCAGTGGGCCAATACAGAACCGGTAAGGGCACCAAGAAACAGCGCCTCTTAGTCTGGAGCTTTGGCTCTTTCAGGATTTCACGGTGCAGTGCAAATTGCAGAGTCTAGACTCGTTCAGGCTTGGGCGGTTTGCAAATCAAGGCTTGGCATCTTCGCACTGCTAGATATGAAGGAATCCAGTGCACGAGAATACACCCAGAGTTTCCCAGCCCCCGTGTATACTCCGTTGACGGAAGCAGCTTCTGTATGCCAAGTGCAAGTTCGAAAGGCATTGAGTGATTGCGTATGATATGAGGCACTGTTTTGTCAAACGCTCATAAACCAACACTTCTCCTCAAAGGAAGCCTACGGTGCGTGGGCGGTGAGCGCAAGCCCCAGAAACCCCATGTCTACACAACCCACCCAAACATCCCTCCCCCCTGTTCAAGCCCCACAGCTGACCTATAATTTCTCAAGCCCCAAACCTTCAGAAACCCTAAGCCTCAGGCTCTGCTTTGCGGGGCACCATCCGCACTTGGATCCCACGCGGGGACTGGCCACGAGGGTTCAAGAAGTTTATCGTCACCCTAAAGCGAATAGAGTTGGAATATATCTACTTGTGGTGACTGGAAGGCTGCCGAAGAACAATCTACGGACAAGGACCAATTGCGTGAAGTGAACATGAGCCGACTCAAGTAACCCCCCGATGCACAACCTGCTTCAGAGACAGCTCTTGAGAATGAATAGGCTACAGGCTCTCGGGCATACGTGTGTAGGATCAAGGATGTTGAGCTGTTACCATCCGGCAAGAATACATACTTGGCTTCCAGTTGAAAATCAAGTGCACAATTCCTAAGAAGGCCCCGAATGTAGCGTGTAAAGTGCTTATGCCTGAGCGTGAGTGACCCTGGGCTGGCTAAGCTCGTGGTGTCGGAAGCTCACACAAAGTACTTCCACGGTTTAGCTCTAGTCGAAGCGTATGCCGCTACTTTTATGACTGCGTCTCAACGGCTTTGGTTTGAGACCTGGGGTTCACTGAGCCATCACCACGCCTTTGAAAGCCTTGCGTCATGCATCCTGCAAAGAAGCCCGTGCTCCACTGTTTGGGAATTGTGCCAGAATATAGCCCCAACTACAGATCCCCATCGTAAGCCGACTCTTAGGTCTCTGACAGTCCATCATTCAAGGGGAGACCAGATTTTCAAAGGTTGCCCTTGGTCAACCCTATGCAGTGGGAGTCATTTCTCCACTCCGTCCTGTACGCAGGTCAACTGGGAGCTACATTTGGTCGCGCTCAGAAAGGGTTCAAGGAATGGAGTTCGAGAATAGAAGAGTCAAAGTAGCGCAGCATTTTTTCAATGCAAACCCCAGTCGTCAAAGACCAAAATCCGAGGAGCGCCCACACTTGCAAGAGTTCGCAGCAGCGACTGCTAAAGCGTGCAGTTCTTGGGCTGGCTAGGAAAACAAACTCCTAAACCCAAAGCCCCAAGCTGCAAAACCCGTAACCCCCAACCCAAACCTCGAAATCCTAAACCCCATATCCTACACATGAAGTAAGAAACAGTTAAGACACGATGCCCTCAAGATCTAACCCCCCCCACCCAATCCTCTCAGCCCTCCTCATCCCTCGTAAGGAGCCTCGCAATCCAAGTATCTGGCATCGCCAACCATGGAAGTACCTGCTGACCCGGAGACGTCTTTGCTGTTCGCCTCTTCTTTGGGGTGTGCAATGATCTTAAAAATCTTAAAGAAGGTTCATCGCGACTACATTGGGGTGATCATGGCAATATGTCACGGTTTCAAAATAATTTGCATGCCTTCTTGTGGCGCCTCGATTTTGGAAGGTATCAGTTCAACTGCCGGATATGAACGATTTGTGAGATGATGGACCTTTCTTCTTGTGGCCTTGCAGATCATCAACAAGCTTGTAATCTGCTGGATTCTGGTATGGTCATGTCATGAGGCATTGTCACTACAACTTATTTGAAGGGAAAAGGCAGTATCATCAGCATCTGGAAAAGAGACCCAAAACACTGGTTGCAATGCCTCATGGTACATTCAGAATACCTAGTGCAGTGATAACTCCTCTCACACTTGGACTGCTGCTGCTGCTGGACTACTTGCCAGTAACATGGTACAGAAGCAGAAACCTGAGCCCGAACGCAGCAACATCTTGCGAAAGCAGCATTCCACCCTCAAGCTGCATGAGACAATTAATCCATGGCTCTGATCTCCGAAGCCAGCCTTTATTTCTGTTCACCTCAGTGGGCAAGCAAGGGAGGGATCCCATCTAGAGTTGGCAACGATGTTATTCTGCAACCTGGATATTGTAGTTCCCCTGAATAGGGGAACCCAACTACAGTCCTTATTATTGGGCCCCCCGGAAAGGTACCCCTGTTCTTGGGAACCCCCCATATTGTAGTGAGCATCAACCCCGATTATGGTACCCTATACTACTATTGGGTAGTTTCGAGGAACCCTTGAGGGGGATCTACTTTCTAGATCCTTCCAGGGGCCTGGGTTCTAGTTCGCGGGCCTTAGAGCAGGATCACTGCACGCGCCCACTGAAATACACTCTGCAAGCCTGCTATCTTGAACGCCCTACCCTTATTTTGAACCCTTCAGTAACCCAAACCTGGCAGCAAGGAGGCGACGTGCCTGGGGATGCCTCCACCCGCGCATACATGTCGTAGACCTCAAGGGCTGCAAACACGTGTGAGGCTTGTTGTTTAAGGCTAGGCGTAATTACAAGAAGCTGCAATCTGCGCTGACTGCCACCTTAAATATGCCATTCTGGAAGAATCCTTACCTCCCCCATCCTTGACTGAGCGCTTTGTTTGAAACCGGGAAAGCAAACCCTCCCGCTGCACATGATCCCCGAATCCTATGATGCCGAGCCACACAACCACATACCTCTACCCGTTTAACGATATCCTTTTGCAGAACCCCAAACGTCAAAGCTCCAAAGACCTCTACCCGACTCTACCCGTTTGAAGGGTCCAATTGACTGAGCGAGCTGAGCTCAGCTGCCGTGTCAGGCTGGCTGACTTGGGTGAAGCACAGGGCGTTCACGGTGGGCTGCATGACCTCAATGAAATGACAAAACGCTTTTGAGGTGACTCCTGCTGCTGCCGCTCTCTCCTGCTCCTGTCCCTGCAAGCCGTTGTGGTGGTGGCGGTGGCGGGGGTGAGTACTGCCACGACGACGACCCACTACCTCTACTACTCTTGCTACTATATGAGTACTATTAGTGATAGTAATACCAGTTCCCATCACCATCATCTCTCAACCATCTGCACCACCACGTCACCACCAACCACTACCACCTGATCGCAGCACCACCGTCAGAGGCGTCCCCACAACCGTCGCTCTCACACCCGGACTCACCACTATCAAATAGTTCACCATCACCACCAGCAACACCACCAACAACTCTCACGAGGATGGCATTTATGACGCATGTGTAACCAAGAACAATGAGGCCCATGACACCAAGTTCACAAAGACTCTTTGTGGATCAGTAGCACTGCCTCGGGTTAAGGGGGCTCTTCTCAACATGTGGACGTATGCTAGGTGGGCTTGCAAAAAGCTCTTCAATAGAAAAACCTTGAAGCACAAAAGCGTCCAATCTTGCATCAAGGATCCCGTTGTGCAGGTGCAACAGCGTGTGCAAAATCTTGGGCGTCCCCAGAAGGTAGGGTGTGCGCAGCGGTTGCTGGAAGGGCCTGTGTGGAAATGTGGCATGCAGGGTGTCTCACCAGACTATGTCCTGTGATGTGAGTAAAAAACGAACAGTAACTGAAGCTTCTTGAAGGTACCCAAACGTAGCTCTACATGCTTGCTATCTGCGCAAGCCCTACACACGTGCCCGTAAGCTGGATAACATGGAGAGAGATTATCGTGACAGACCTTAAACCCCAAACTTTAGGATCTCCGCCCTGCATCCGAGACCCTCAGTGTGAGCGATCTCCTGTCTCCCAACAAAACGTTAGCAATTTAATTCAGCTGAGGCCAATGCCGAGTAATTCAGCAAGCTCGGCCGCTTTCGGGTGAGCACGCTGGGGTCAATCTGCGCATCACCATGGATTACAGAAGCTTCCCCCCCCATCCCTGTTTGGGGTTTGGAGTTGGCAAGCCTGTTCAGAAGGGGACTCTGAACTGGGCCGGTGTCAGATGGACATGGTGACTGCCAACGTCCAGAAGTCAAAACCTGAAACTCATCAACCATGAAACCTGTCTCCTCTTCTACCTTGACACCCTGGACCCTCAAAGCCTGATCTCAGGATTTGTATACACCGAGCCAGTCTGATGAAACGAAATGCAGGAGCCTTGAGCTCAATGGCAAAAGCACCCGGATCTTTCCTGGAATCAAGATGCACTTTGGGGGTTGGAGGATCAAAGTTTCAGGGTTTGAGTCATATACACGGATGGTCATGGGCTTTTTGGGCTGGGGGTGTCATTGAGCTCAGGAAATATAGCTTATGGCTATAGGTGCCTGACCCATGAGTCCTACACTATGCTCTCCCATCCCTCAGCGAACTCAGAAGAGCCCAGCAACCCTCTGCTCATGAATGAGGCCCAGCTTCTGGGCCAGGTAGCCGACGAGAACGGACCGCTGGCCATCGGGGCCTGATGATAAAAAGAAAGGAATACAGCATGGTGCAGGAAGGGGCCTTATATCAACAGCTGCATTTACGATAAGTATGAGAATGGTCCTTACCGTCAGTATCCTGCAGGTACAGCGGATCAAGTAGAGACTACATTGTGCTTCCGTGAACTTTGGACAAGGTGCAACTGAGCCAGTTAGACCGGTCACAATTCAGAACAGCAAAACGCAAATGTGTATTTCAAGCGTGCAAACTGGAGTTTAGAGAATAGGAAGAAGGCGATATGGCAATCGTTGCCATAGTCGCCGCTCGCGGCAGCAGCAGCAGCAGCAGCAGCAGCAGCAGCAGCAGCAGCAGCAGCAGCAGGTGCGGCATGGTAGCAATCGCAGTTTGCTTCAAGCCTGTCTATCAAGATCATCATGCTCATTGCCAAACCCAATGAAACCAAAAAGACGATCCTCGGACATGCATGCCTTCTTCTTCTGCCTTGAAACCCTGGTGGCCATGTCATACGCGAACTCGAAACAAACCGGTGAAAAGATCTCGCGCAAACGACAATCAAAGGTCTGGGGGCTTGGGGTGGCAGGCGGGGTATCCCTGAAGAACACCACCCGTGGCCTGGTCCATCACTCAGCACCTGAACAGCCGATCGGAATCAGGTAAAGCCATTCCATTTAACAAAGTGAGTATACGTAACAACGCGACCAGTAGTAGGGAGCAAGCAACATGTTCTACCAGGAGCTCCTTTGTTAGGCTCTTTGGCAGGGCACCTTTGGCAACAATTCACTGTGGACAAGCAAGGCTTTTCTCTTGGAGTTTGCTTCTAAGCTAATGGAACAAGTCGAGGGTTTGGGGTTTGAAGTCTCGCTTTGAGAGTCTCAGCGTGGCTTGTGCATGTGCCCCAGCAGTGTTCCATCTCTGTGGTTTCCGACAACTAGGGTCCTCTAGCCTTCTAGGTTTATAAAGGCCGCAGGTCAAACCAAACGCGAGACTTCAGAGAAGACATAACCTGTGAAGCGACACGTTCTGCATAGCAGGGAATGTCAGTAAAGCCCATTTGGGATGTACAACCTCCATGGTAAGCCCCCGGAAATTATATAACTCCCGCCAGACCGCACAAGCTGCAAATCTATCCTGTGCATAGCTTTTGTTGCTGTTCCTTGTCCCCGCAGAAATTCATCTGTTGGCTGTACAGAATGTGGGAAACTCCGACACATACCCCCTTCTCTAAAGGCAGACAATGCCAACCGCATGGTAACCAGCCTTCATGCCCGCAGCGCCGCACCAAAACTTCAACTCTTTCTCCATCTGCTCGTCATTCCCAATCTGTGGCAGGTCGGCAAGTCTAGTTCCGGGTTGCGTGGAACAACATGAGTTCTCAAGGACTGCAGGGCATCACATATGTGTCATCAGAATTGCGGATTGGAGGCCGGACAGTCAAGGCAACCTACTCCTTTGACCCCAAACCCTCAGACCATTTCGAAGCATCAACCCTGCACTCTTCACCTACAGCCTTAAGCAATGAACATCAATGAACTCATGGGACCCAGATTCAGCTAGTAGTCCTCCCCCGAACCCTCAAGCTCGAGCTTCGGGCGTCCACCACGACGCGCTGCAGCTTGCAAGGGGACGTCTGCCAGATTTTCAATACTCATGTGGCGAGTTTAAAGGAGGGTCGCAGTTGGCCAAGGTTTAAGGTGAAAGGGCCATCCTCTTGAACTGGCAACACAGGGGTCCAGCAGTGAATAGGTTTTTCAGACCTATGGATTTGAAACCGGAGATTTGGGATCTGGGGGCCAACATTGTTTACTGTTAGCAGAAGGCACGAGAGGATGGAATCTATTCTAAAGAGTGAGGTGATATCATAGGACTGATTACCACAGGGACGCATTCATCCATTCCCTACTGATCCCGAGTAAGATTGGTTCAGAGGCTGAACATGTTGCATGTAGGTGTCTGTGGGATCCAACTTTGGGGAACGCAAGCTTCCAATCTCAATCTGAGCAGCACATGCAAGTCTTCTGCAAGGGCTGAGAACACAAATGCTCAGCACTCATGTATAGGGTCCTCTCATGGCGGTTGAAACATGCACCAGAACTGTAGACTTTACAGAATTGATATTTGGGACTTTGGGGGCATTGGACCTTCGGAGCTCGGCGCTCAGGTGCCCACGGTGCTACTGTTGGCAGGGATGGATCTCAACGTTTCAGCGCAGCCTGACCTGGAACTCTGAGGCCTCCAGCCCTGAACCTCAACTCCTGAGCTCTGGGACCGTAACCATGATCGGAAAACCCAAGCCCTTCCCTGCTTGAGCCCTGTTGTACTTGGATATAACAAGTACACTCCAACAGGCAAGCTGCAGTCGGGTGACCCTTGATCTGAACAGACTGCGCAGCTCCAAGATTGCCTGAAGACCGCCCTTTGATCACGTGTGACCCTTGGCTTCCTGCCTGAATGGCCGGTGCCGAAGTTGCCGCCTCCTGCGTGCAACTGGGGTCTGGAATTCTGGGCTTGGGGGCTTCACTTACCTAGGGGCCTTCTTCACACAATGGAGTACAGCTCACCTTCTTGCTTGAAGTCCAGATGATTACTTAATCTGCACTAGCCCTGATGTCCAAACACCTGAACATGGCTTTAAACTTACCACGCCAGGGACAGCTCCACCATGGAAGTTGCTCGCGACTTTAAAGGTGCTGCTATGGACAGCCTTGTACGCCGGTGGACCGCGAACCTTCTGTGCGCAAACTCCATTTTGCGGACCCCGAAGAATGACTAGAACATCAGTTCCTGCAGGGACACCTGTGCGAACAGAGAAGAAAAGGCCCTGTACACTAACCATGCTTGGGGCTTGGGGCATTTACGACTTCATGTCTTGATTACAATTAGCTACAGTATACGAACAGCGAAGAAAACGCCTTGTAAACTGATCATGCTTGATGATTTTATTGTTTGTCTTGCAAAGCGACATTGTTGAACTCAGATTTGTTGCAACCTTAAGAGAAACAGCCAAACCGAGGCCATGGATTCAACATTTCGCTGTCTGCAGCGTTAGGAGCCTGCGTGGTGCCTGTCATTCACATGCCATGCCAAGGTGCTTGGCTTGATATTGAGAACAGCTTGAATCTCAAAGCCTGGACACTCAAGTTTTCGAAAGCCCACAGACTGCAGCGTGCCTCAATCCCAGAACCCTCACAGGCTGTGAGCAAAGCGTTGCGCACCATTCCTGAACCATCCGTTTGACCCCGGATATGAAGCCTGAACCTTACCCTGCATTGCCTCAGACCGAGTTTGGTGGATTTGCTCTCATCATCTGGTGCAGCCGCACCTCCGCGTAGGCCGGAGTTGCCAAGGCTAGCGCCGACAGCGACAAGTCTCGCCGACTGCATGCAGGCGGTTCTCTCACAGGTGTGGCTTGCGCACCCAGAGCTTTGGGGTGAAGAAATCATTTCAGCTTTGAAGCCTCTGGTTCAGGGATGTACATAAGGCTCAGGCATCTCACAAAGATTCTTGATTGACAAGTCCGGATTCAACCGTGCCGGTCCTCAAACTCATTCTGGCCTCTGAGCAGTCTCAATTGTTGTACGGAAAAATGCTTGTGTGCATCTGAAAAGAAACTGTGATGATGTGAAAGCTTCAAAAGTTGCTTTGCCTGCAGCTACGAGCATGGCTTTTGGATTGGTTGTGGGATAGACTATTGACGTTCGATTCCAGATGGAACTTGTGAGATGGGGGCATGGGCAAGTGCTCGCCTGAAACTTTAGCTCATCTTCTGCTGGCTCGTGTGAGACCTGCGGTGTCTGCATATGCTCCATACCCAAATGGCAAACAAAATCCAAATCCCACAGGCAAACCCCTACATTCTTGCCTTTGAGAACCTCAAACTCTGACCCACCTGGGAGCTGCGAGATCGCCCTCCATTGCCTGGAGAGAACAGCTCGAGGCTGGGAGGTCATCACACATCTTCGGTTCTTCATCGTCTTCAATTCTTTGAGAAGGGCTGCAGTTGGAGGCTTTGGGTTTTGCCAGGAAGGAATACCGAAATTCATCAAAAGCACTCAAAAACCCTGCTCACACCCCGGAAAGAAACGATCGTGTCCAGAAACCGCCACATCCCCACAACATGTCTCATCACTGATCTGCCTTTTGCAGTTTCTTCTCGCGGCCGGCGCCCATCTGAACCTAAGTAGGAGTCAATGGCGCGGTGCCGGTGATACTGATCTGGGAGCGTGTCAGAGTTGAAGGGCGTTCTTTCTTAGCAGTACTTGTAAGCAGGACCCTAACATGCTGGCAGCAGGAGGTTTCTCGGGAGTGGAGCTGGCTTCTCGAACATATTTTCTCCATGTTTGCTTCATCTTTGCTTTGTCTTTGAACCATCTTTGCTTCACGTTTGCAATTAAAAAGCGGCTTGCGACACTGTACCGAGGAAGAAGTAACGTAAATGGTTTCTCTTATTTTCGTAATGTTGCGGAAGCCGCGTAGCTGTCGAAGTTTAGCATAGTGTGGTGACCGAGTAGTGACTGCGTTGTGACCGTCAAAAAGCTTCGCTATATCCGAGAAGATGCAGCAGTCATTCGCTTGTTGTTCTCTGATTTCTCGAGAGTGGAGCGCTTATCGACAATATTTGCTTCATCTCTGCTTCATGTTTGCTTCATCTATGTCTCATTTCTGCTCATCTCGAAATTTATCCAAAACATCTCCCAGTGACCGCGCAGTGATCATGTCCTTCAGATTTAGGCTGACAATTGCCCTCAGCCTTTTCGCCAGAGTTTGTAATTCTTTCACCCAGGTGCGGAAAGCATGGCTTCGCAGCACATACGTGAATCCACCAAGGCCAACACCATGCATGCGGCAGCATGTGACAAGATGTACCTCCTGGCGTTCCCAATTCACTCTATCTTCCGTAAGCGACAGTCCCAATCCGAGGATCTAAGTCCCAGAACCCTAAACCCGGAATCCAAAGCCCCAAGCCACCCTGGAACCACAAGTCCAGCTCGCCAGAATCCTTCAAACCACAACAGGTTCGGCCGGGCTCCGAGCCAAGCCGAGTGCAGCCAGAGGTGCAAAGAGCCAGTGGAAATTCCTCCAGAAGTTCCCCGAATAAACATGGAGACTGGGATGCAAATCGCATGAAGCGGCATGGAAAATGGACTGGAAACCTTGATTACATAGCAACAGACGGCCTAGCTCCTGATACTAAACCACTCTCTTATGTGTTTAGTCACCTAGGGGGGGTAGTCAGGTAGCAGCAAATAATCACGACAAGAATCTAGTACCAGTTGTAATGATGCTGATCTCAGCCAAACAAATCTCTATGGTAGCCAGGAATTGATTTTCATAGCCATGAAAAAGGTATGATAGGGAGCGCTAAAAGTTAAAGGAAACAACGGTCAACCAGACCATACCAGATCAAGACAGTAGTTATGTTGGTGACATAACAAACAATCCAAAGCGACAGGCCCCTGAGGCACCCTGCTTAGCCGATAGAATTTTCTTGGCATCCAAACGACTGCTGAACAAGAAGCGTCAGCAACTGAGCAGCCCCATGCATCCCCAGATCCACTGAAACTCTAACATGCATCCTAAGATCCTAAACCTCCAAACTCCTTCACCTTACACCCTGAGCCTCATACCTCAGACCCCAGAACTCTAAATCTTCGAACCGCCTCCCAAGACAGTCCGCTTTTCCAAGCTCCGCACGCCACCAGGCTGGCAAAGACACCCTCAGAGGTGCGCGGCACCTATCGGCTTTCAGAATTGAGATTGAGGCTTCTGGGAGTTGACAAGCTTCGGGTTTTTGGTTACAGAGGGAGAGATCGGCTCATCCCCAAAGCCGATGATCCATTCCGGGTGGTCGCGCTCCCTTTGGAACACTATTCGATTGCAAGGCAACTATTTTGCCATCTCCAAAAGCATCTCTCTCAAGTTCATCTTCTGCGCGGAAAACGGAATGCTACTGCAATCCGCTCAAGGGGAATTGCAAGATCTGCCCCCAGGACAGCCTGTCCTTGTCAGTATGCACCGTATGCAAAGGAGCTTAATGGATTATGCTAAGACGCACACAGCAACTGCAGCAACTTACAAGCTGCCTCATTCGACAAGTTGACATTGCCACTCTCATCGCCGGCCTGCTGCGTTTGTGCCATTGGGTGTCGGAGCTTTGTAGACTGAAACTGTTTGCGCCGTGGTGCACTGAAGGGGGAATTGAAGGATTGCACCCTGTCAGGTGTCAGCTGTCGTGCTCTGTTGATAAGCACAGTGGCGCGCTTCAGGCACAGGCGGAGCCCTTGATGGAAGGTGCCGACGAGGAGGCCAACCCACAAATGCGGAGCTTCAAACAGACTTAAACCAGAAGAACCAAGCCTCAACTCAGAACTTCCAAACTCAAATCCCCGAGCTCAAAGCTCTCAACCTGAGCCCTGAGAAGACAAGAAGCCGTCCTTTAGAGCCCTGCGAGCTACGAGCTCCGATGTCTCCTGCACCGGCTGCCAACCTGCAGAAGGCGAGTGCAGGGCAATGGTACTTCGCCTTGCTTCCTCATTGTTGTCAGGGAAGCCTATAGGCTTTGGTAGCCCGAATCTACGGGCGACTGGAGGGATGTTCTTGTGGCCCTTAGAACATCAGACTTCCATCCATCTGGGCGTGTTGGCTATCATGCATTCGGCTGCAAGTTGGTGCGCTATACTGGTGGAGATTACCTGTCAGGCTTCATTGGGTACTCGGGTGGGCCTGAACACTTGTAGGTCCTGCGAACACTTTTGCTGTAGACGTGGGGCTTGCTCGCTTCCTTGAAGATGTCTTGCCTTGAAGAATTGCCGTTAGCAATGTTCAGCATGCGCGGCACCAACACCCATGTGGCCGCAAAGAATCATTCAAATTCTGGCGGCACACGCCGAAACTTCTGCCTGGAGATGTCCCGTAGGATGAACTTCAACTATGCTCACACTGATTAGCGTTTTGTGGGATGTATCCATCATGGAGAAGCCTCCAACTTGAGAGCCCCACCCACCACAGCTCAAGCTGTCCAGTTGAACTTTGTCATGACAACACCTCTCCCTCAAACTCCACGCTCCCACCTGCAAAATTGTGACCCGGCGCGCACAGCCACCCAACCTTGGGGTTGTTGGGCTGAAGCGGGTGGCTTGAGAACTTGGTGTTCATTCATATCGAAACCAGAGATGCGAAACCAACTCAACACGCCCATTCAAGGGTCTTGTTTCTAAGGAGCCCAATCTGTGCTCTTGGCGTGACAGGCCAACCACAATCCTGGGCTCAGCACCCTCTGGAAGCCCTACAGTGCAACATGTAACCTTCAGAACCTCAACCATAATATGTGTTCATTGGGCCTTGTAACAGCGCTATGCGTCGGTTGCTTCTGAAAACTAATAGGAAAAGGGTATCCCCGCAATACCACGACCCCTCAGATGCGGACAGCTGCCTCTTCCAACACTTCTACGAAGGCAGCTGACTGCAGCCCTTCCGATTAAATGCTGGCTTGTTTGTAGTGAGCTTGACAACAAGAATCACGAACTCCTGCGATCCTCCCAAGTCGTCTGAAACCCCATGATCCTAATTCCGTGGCAAACCTAAATTCCGCAATGGCCCCCAACCTTCACTCTGTAGTCACCATGCCGAGACCCCGTACTTCTAGTCCTAGCGCTCCTCCATGTAACGTACACCCAAAACCCCGCGCCAACAAATCCTCTAGACCCTTCAAGCCAGGATGATAGGCCAGGTACGGCTGCCAGTGCCAGCAGCGGAACACTCCGCCTGGCAGGCGCAGGTCTGCTCATAGGGCTCAGGATAGTGGCGCAAAATGGGGTCATGTAGGGATTCGGTACGGATATCGCAGGGATGATGTCAGGATTTCTTGGGGAGTATACGGTGTTTAATTGGATATTCTGGCATGATGTGAGGATGGCTTTAAAGTATTATCAGTGTTCGAGGGTGCGCGATTCAAACTAACACGTCGCGGGTCAGGGCTGAGTGGCATTCCATGAAGCTGATGAGAATTCAGGATGGGCTTCAGGTTTTGCGTTTCCGGGTTGAAGGAAAACTGCCAAGAGTTCCGCTACGAAATTTTGAGGGTTTGGACTGGAGTTTTTCGCCTCTCATCATTTGGGGTTCGGGGTCCCTGCGCGACTTCCATCCCACTATTCTGGGCTGGGGGGACAAGACAAGGCTACAATCATGAGGGAGAGGAGGAGGCTGCTGAAGGGACGCCTAACTGATAGCCCAAGGTGTGCCCAATCAGCTCGATATCAGTCCATGCTGAAGGAATTTGAGACAAGCACCCATCAGCTGATGGCTCAAAGAGTCGGTGGTGAGCAGGGACGGCTTGGCGCAGGTTCTGCTTGGATTTTCGGGCTAGGGTTCACAATGTCGTGATGGAACAAAAACTAAACTCCCTTACGGCACGTGTTGCAAAAAGCTCATTGGTTCTCAGATGCATTGGGCGCTGCTACACTACCTCTACCGACAGGCTTCGTATTTGAAGTGTGGACTCGTCGGCAAGACATGTGAAACTACCAGGATCAACCTGCATGCCATAATGTCAACCCTGGGCAGAGAATGCGAAATTGAACTTTGTGGTCCAGACCAGGTGGTGTGTGCTCATTCCGGCCCTTCAGGGTTGAGAATGAGAGGACGCTGCACCGCCCGTGGTGCAGCTACTTGGTTGAGTTGCAGCAACAGCAGGTTCACGTAGCTGCTGAATAATGTCAGCATTTGCGGCACTCACGCACATGAATGCCCACGAAAGCAGAAGTAAGCCTGACCAAAGAAGGAGGAACTTTGAAACCCACCAAAATCCCTCACCCAATCCCATCTCTGCGTCTTCGTTGTTCTGGGGCACGTTTCTGCTCACACGTTTTTTGTAACATCATGGAATGTAGATGCTGAAAGTCTCCATGCAGCTAAATCCTACATACCTCCCTCTGAAAGTATTAGAATGTGTACCTGACTTGTCCATTGTAGCCACGCAAAAGGGCCTGGATGCCGCCATAGTCTTGGACATGCCTCTGTGCCCGCAACGCTGACCGGGCCGAAAAGGCAGAAAGGCTGACATGAGCGAGGGACCCATGCTTGCAGGGGGACTTAAAATTCAGAGTTATGTGTAGTTCTCCGCATGCTACTTGTCTGGTTGACAGATGACACGGGCTGCAGATATCCACCAACTCGGTCATTGTCATGCAGCTTGCTACTTCTGCGTCTCTCTGCCTGGTCGAAGCTACATCTGACTCAGGGGCCCTATAAAGTTAAATTCTATGGCCCTATAGGGAATATGTAGGGATTATGGCCCATAATACTTAAAAATTATTCCTGGGAATGATCCAGCAAGCATTTCCAGTCAACTCCATCGGTACCGGCGCCACGCTGGGCAAGAGGCGACGATGCGCCGTGAAACTCGACTGCCCGGCAAGGTCAGCTAGGACCAGGAGGCCCTGCAGCTGCCTACCTGGCCCCACTACGAGGAAGTTCTACGGACAACTCCTTTTGTTGCACAACAGCCCACTCATGCCCACTCCAGAGCAACTTCGCGTGGGTGATTTTCGCAGTGGGGCAAAGGCACAAACGAGGAAACACCTCAAATCTAATCTTCATCCAGGCCCACGTGATTGAAAAGAGGCCACAAGTTGACAAAGGAACACAACTTGGGAACGAGCGCGCAACACTTCTCTTTGACACAGAGATTGACTAGGGCCATGCTACACATGCTCGAGGGCAACACTGCTCTGGGCATCACTCGCGACTGACTATAGGGTAATCCTACGTAACCCTGCTGCTTCCGCATTTCTAAACAGAAGTTTCTCAACGAGGCCATGAAGGCCGCGAACGCAGCAGCGCATAGGATAAATAGAGTTCAACAGGTTCCTGCCTTCGGGAAACCAAACCTTCGATATGCTTCCTCGCGGCTTTGTGCGAGGCAAGCAACTCGGCAGTCATCGTAGAATTGGGAATCGGGAAGCATCAGTTCTGCTTCCACTCAACGTGGCAATTCAATGTTGCCCGGCCGAGTAAACGATAGGCCATGCAGGCTTTACTCAGCAGCTCAGCCCTCCTTAGCTCTCGCATGGAGCTCCCAAAACGCAACAAAGATCTCGTATACCAAGATGCTGTGTGGACGGTGCTTTGCTACGTTTTGTTGTCGACGTGCCTCCACCAGCAGCAACACTAACATGGAGTTATTCCGGGTTTAGGGTTTTAGGGCTTTAGGGTTTAGGGGTCGGAGATCCGCTCCTGCTCCTTCATCTTGCGAAGCTTCGATGTGTGCACCTTCGCTGCAGATTCGAAGCACAAAACGAGAGCCTACGGGCAAAAAACTGGGTTGCTGTTAAAGAACTTGATTTAAGTTACCATATTTGGGAAACCCTGTTCTTTACTATATATACCCATTATGGTAACTTAAATTCAGTTCCTTAACAGCAACCCAGAAAAACCCTGTGCTGAAACTAAGCCCCGGTCCTGGTGTTGGCGCTTGGCTTGTCCTTCTTTCTTTTGCGCCTTCTCCTGGCTTCGCCAAGGGAGCCATGAGCTCACTGGAGTCTTGTGAGGGTTTAGGGTTTAGGATCTCAGTTACCTGTCTAGGAGCTTACCGGGTTACGGGGGAGGTCTGTCTGTATAGGGTAGAACGGCAACCCAATACACAAGTATCTGTGCTCCGGGGGTTGCCCCTGCTGACCGGACCAGGGTACCTGTAACCGCTGCCATTCGTATAATTGAATTTCCACAGAGATGCGCTGATTGTGTCCTTGACTCGGAAAACCAGCCAAAAGATGTCAAAACTGTATGGCTTAATGCGGCGTAGATGGCAGCGTACTCCACAGTGTCTTACACCCAATCTTGCAGATACCGTGGGAACGGAATCAACACTGAGTAGACTACTGGGGGTGCCGTCTCCTTTTTGGTGATGCGGTGCCAGTTGTCCAGGCACCACTTCCTGGGCATCTGAAGCTTCAGAGTTGGATTTCCTCGTCTACACCTCGACCAAAGCGGCCGATACCTTAAGTTTATCTGACCTTCTTGTACATCCTCGGTGGAGGCAGCGGCTTCATGCATATGCGTGTGCGGGCTGTAAGGAATGTGTGAACCTGACCAAGAAACCCCTGAATTTCAGAAGGACTTGAAAATTTGGAATATAGTCTTCAGATGGATCCTGCTTGTTGGCGCAAATTCGAACTGGGGGGGGGGGAGGGGTGAACAAATTGTTAAAAAGGGGACTGATGGGAGTAACACATAAACTTTGCTTACCTCAGCTATTTTGTCAAATCCTACCCCGCCTTCTTCAATTTCTACCGCTATCCACCTTATCCATTATTTCCATGGGGCTTCTAGGGTTGTTCTTTAAAATTGCATTTTACCAGCGGTTTTCAGCATTTTTTCATCGATTATCCTCACCTCATTCGTTTTATTCACCAACTCCCTAACATTCTTACCATAACTCATACCAACGACCCTTATTCATATTCCTATTTTTCACCCTCCATTTTCCAAGGTCCTTAGTAATGTTCATTCCAACGTTCTTTACACTTTAAAGCTTTTAACCATCACATTATAATAGCTAATATGATGGTTATTTAATCCATGTCATCCAAATGTGAACTTAAGTCTTTTTTCTTAGCTAATGTTTGTCGTTGCTTTTCAAGTATTGTTTCTCTGTTTGTAGTATAATACAGTCTTCTTGCTTCTTTGATTTTGTCTTTGTTTCGTTCCCTACATTATTATTTTGTATGTTTTTTTCTCTGTTTTCTGCGATGTATTCTTTTCTCTTATTTAGTATAATATCTCGGTTTTAGATATAACGTTCTTTTTGCTTTTGTTGTATTTCTTCCTTATGCCTTTGACTGTAATTTTTCTTATTTCTCAACATTTGTTGCAATTTTTACATTCTAACTCAAAACAATCTAAGCTTTTATTCTGCTTACATCTCGTACATTGCTTAGTATCTGTTGGAAGTTTCTCCATATGATAGTAAGGTCTTTTTGTAAATTGTTCTAAATTTTCAATCAAACAGCAGCAGCTAGTGCCTACTATAATGCTCGTCCCTAAATCTGCCACTAAAAGCGGGGGGGGCACATGCCTCCAAAATCGGGGGCGCGTGCCTCCAAAATCGTGGGCACGTGCCTCCAAAATCGGGGCAGGAGCACAGGCTGCCTCCAAAATCGGCGGCACGTGCTGCCAAAAGTGGAGGCACAGGGTTTTTACACCCGATTGCTCAAACATAAGGTTGAAAAACAAAAAGGAATGAGAATTAGAAATCAAAGGACATCAACTAGCAGATAAGATTGAACAAATATTAGAAGAAACAACTGATATATACACTGACTATTCAGGACTAAAATTTTTGTTATTAAAAATTAACAAGAAGAATGTTTCACATTACAGCCGAACCCAAGAAATCATAACCGCCAACCCCAACCCCAGTCCAAATTCACTTAAAGAAGAGCCACCTTATAATTAAATGCAGTCAGGGGAGTATGGTTCAGTGTTGAAGTTCTTATTTTCAGATAAGCAGGCAACCATTAAACGCAAGAATGGTTGGACTTACAAAAAGGTCATTATAAATGATGTTGAATATCCATATAACAAAGAAAGCCATTAGTTAAACACTTAAAAACAAAACTAGAAAAAGTTTCAAAAACTCCTCAATACAGACGCTTCAAAATCCTTGAAAAAGCATCCAAAGGCATTTTAGTAAGAAACGCTTTAAAAAATACGCTATTAAAACACAAAGCCACAATCACCGACGAACAATCGGCTTTAAAATCTTA